ACAAAAGTTTACTTGGAAACCTTTACTGTCCCATGAACTTTAAGCACAACGGCTAACCTCTAAAGCCTTTTCTTCATCATATATAAATTTAGGCAACTTCCTCATAAGATCCTTCCTGTCAGTCCCGGCTAGTGCCTTGCTGATCTGCAGAAAGAAGTCAGGAAAGGGATTCACTGGCCTGATTAAAATTACAATAACATATGAGCATGGAATATAATATACAATAACAGCAAGAACCACTAAATAATCTGGATACTTTCAGGGGTAGCCAGCTGCAGCAGTTGTCAATGGCCATCTAGAAGGAATTGATTGTTCCAATTGGACCATCTTAATTGAGAGAAAAGATGGCTAAGGAAGACAGAATGCAGCACCTGGCAGAGTTTATAAATTACAATAAGAAAATAACCTGAGGAGCATATACACATCCAAGAGCACCAATGATGAGTCCTCCCAGAACAAAACCACCAACAAATATGCTTGCCCTGCTTGACCTTCCACTATCACTGCAGGAACACAACAACCAAGTAAATACATTCATAACCTTAGTCCTGTTTATATTAATCCAAAAAAGGACAGCAAGGACATAGCTAAAAAGAAAAAGAGAATTCAAGAAATATATTAACTATCAATATAGTGAATCCTGAATGATCATAGAAGCCAGAGTCGCATATCAAGAGAAAAATGAACATCTTCCTAGTTCACCCTCTACAGCCAATTATACCTGGGAGGAGATCACGAACTTTTTGAATTTTAGTTGACGATGGGCCAGTACTTCCTCGCCCATAACTTTTACTCTAAAAATTCCCTTTCATTAGTACACCATCCTATGAATTCAATAAAATAGTTCTTAAGACGGAGTGAAGGTAGTACTCAAGTTGTTAGGTTCATAATGGCAGTTTTGCCGTCTGAACTACATGCTCTGGAAATAAAATTGTTGCTCTAGTTACACTGCATTTTCATATACACCTTTTCTCCATTAAATAAACCCAAATCCTCGCTCAGGCACAAAGAAACTGTGCGTACTTGTACTCTCCATGGACTTATAAAGACACTAGCTGAATTGCACGGGGTTAAGATGGAGGCTAATTCCATTTAAGAGGCAAAACCTCCTCGTAACAGGGGAGAAGGAAGTATGAAATTTAAACAGTCAATTCATCCCAATTCTTATCCCCACCTTTGGACCCCCACAAAGATTGATCGAAATGAAAATACAAATGTGGCAAATCCCTCAGTAGAGGATCTCCATGCCCTACCACTACAGAAAGGAGGTTAGGAAACAAAACCTGCAAAATCATGAAGCGATGGAGAACACTAAGTTTAACATGACGATGTAAAGCCACTGTCCGTGGACCATGGATGAGAGAGATTGAATTCATCTGAATAGTAGTGATTACATCATTCTAACTCTAATTAATCAAAACAAATCAACCCGAAAACTCATACGATCCCACTCTGCCAACAATTTTTCTCTCATATCATCTTCGTTATCTCATCACAATCTCATACACCTTTCTGTAGGCTCTTCTTGATCTTCTCGCTTGAGTGAATCCCTTCATACTCACAAATTCTCTTATATGGCACACAAAAATCTCAGGCAAATCCTTTCAAATTAATCAATTCACACATCTCAAACTAGCCATCTCATACAAATCATTTCAAACCAATGCACCCCACGAAGAAACATTCCCTTTTCAAAAATGGGGTTTCCGCTTAACCTCACAATAAAATTTACTACGGAAAAAAGCCATCAAACTTTAAAGTATCTCCCATTTACAGGCACCAACAAGCTCTTAAGTGCTTCCCTTACTGAATTCATAATAAATGTGTTCTCTTTCCTAATGAGTTCAAGTCTACCCACCAATTCTGTTCCTTCCCAACATGTAATTTACTTCTTTGCTGAAACTCACAAAAGATACATAAATAACCAAAAAAGAATGACTTGATGCATTTTGCAATTTAAATTCTACCAATTCTCTGAAGGCTAGTAACAGTTCTAGTACTGTTATGTCTTGAAGCAATGAAGATAATAGATCTAGATCACGATCACAAGTTGAGCTCCGCAGGCTAAGGAATTTCGGATTTGCCAAATGCAGCTAAAGATGATACCTGTAAGCAGCTTGAACATTGAGTGACCTCCTAGAGTTACAAAACTGCACTTTCCGAGCTCGATTAAAACTAAAAGACAAGTTCGTAGGGCTGGCACTTCCGAGACATTGATCTAGTGGCTTCAGAGAATAGCCTAGCAAAAGAGAATAGCTTCAAAATCTCTCGAATCTGATTATCAGAAGTTAACTAAGAAAGAAGATAACCAAATAAAATGTAAACGATTTCCTACAAAATAAAACATTTCGAAACATTTCTTTTAACTCAATGTCGCCTAAACCAATCATTCCCCGAAATATATAAAATCTTAATACTAATATTGCAGTTCACATGAGCTCAGATTTATGAACGAGCTAATCAAGGGTAGAAAACAAATCAACACCTAAAGCTGATTCGTTCTAAAACCATTTCAGCTACTGACACTAAGTTGATAACGAACAAATTAGAGAAACTGAAGCAACAAAAACCCCGAGATTGATAATGATTTGATCGCAATAACATATTATACACATTTTACTAACAACATCGAAAAGGGAAACCATCTATAAAAAGCCTACCGCCGGAGAGAAACATTACCAGATGACAAATCTGCTCGAGGACTTTTCGTTAGAACCAAAGAATTAGAAAGAGAAGTCATCTTTGAGAGAGAGAGAGAGAGAGAGAAAGCAGGAGTAAAAGAAACGAGCTTCTTCCTGTGGATAGACAGTTGAGAGAGCAAAGACACTTGATCAGAATTCAGGAGGCGGTTTCAAGCTCGATGATACCGAAGCTTAATGAGACAAGTTATGGTGCGTCACATGTACGAAGTTAACGATGGAGTCGCGCATTTTCTGCCGTTGATTTTTCACCATTTTCTTACTGGACGAATTAGCACGTGCCTATTGTTAGTACGGAAACTGCTTCGGCCCAATTCTCGCCCCCGGCCCAACTTCCATACCGAGTATTTCCTATGCATATATAACATATATATATATATATATATTATGCGTGTATATATGTAAGATATATATATGTGATTGGTGGGTTAATTATGATTAAGTAGGGAGTAAAGAGCCGGCTTAAATATAATTTGATAATTTGGTTGCTAATGATAGACGACCATGCAGAAAACAGACACTTAGCAAATGACAAAGTGATCAGTCTGTTGTACGCGTCAGGACTTTTCTCTCTTATTATCTGGATATTAGTATAACTCAATATCACCATAAATTCTCTCATTAATACCTTTTGCCTCTTGCTTAACTGGTTTACAAGTTGGGAAAGTATGGCTGCGGGTGGTGTAGGAGACAGAACATTGCAGGAGACTCCCACATGGGCTGTTGCTGCTGTCTGCGCTGTCCTCGTCATGGTTTCCATCATCATAGAGCATTCTATTTTCCATCTTGCCAAGGTATATCCATATATATATATATATATATATACGTATGTAGACACACACACAAACACATAGAGTACAGTACAAGGTATGTTCATTAATTTCACATGATTTACTTCGATTTTGATTACAGTTGTTCCAGAAACGCCAAAAGAAGGCCATGTCTGAAGCCTTGGAGAAGATTAAAGCTGGTATACATGCGTATATATGTATATATAATTTAGCAGCGAACTAAGTTATTCTGGGGGGGCTAAATTTTTCTGGGTATCGTATATTGTTAATCAATGTTAGTGGGTTAATGAATTGCATGCAGAGTTGATGCTATTAGGGTTCATATCTCTACTGCTATCAGTAAGTACAAAATTCATTTCAAAAATATGTCTGCCTCGCCATCTCGAAAACTTCATGCTTCCATGCAAACCCTCATCCGATGAGAAGAAGATTGATGATGATCATAACGACAGAAGAAAGTTACTCTGGTTTACTCAACATCGTGTTCTTGCCGCAGCTTCCAGTGGAGATGACTACTGCTCCACCAAGGTTCAATAACAAATTAACCCTTCGTTTGATTCATACAATAATATTATTAAATTAATTTTTTTTTTTTCGAAAATTCAGATTTTAACGTTTTATAATTTGTAATTTTGTGTTTGTTGGTGAATAAAAACGTTAACAGGACAAACTGCCGTTAATATCACAAACGGGGTTACACCAACTTCATATATTTATATTCGTCCTTGCCGTCTTCCATGTCCTTTATAGTTTCATCACTATGGCCCTGGCCCAGGCCAAGGTACAAACCACGTCTCCCCTCTTTTTCTACTTTCTAAACGGCGTCGTAAAAGCTGAGTGCGTGTTATTGGTCAGGTGAAGAAATGGAAGGCTTGGGAATCGGAAACGACGTCGTTGGAGTATGAATTCACCAACGGTGATGAAATGTTCTCTTCTGTAATTTATTCTAAGTTTGATTACGTACCTTCAGTAGGAACGATTAGAATTGATTTTGTTGGGGTTTTCAGATCCTTCAAGATTTAGGTTTACGCACCAGACTTCTTTCGTAAAGCGTCACTCTGGTCTCTCAACAATAGCAGGCGTAAGATGGATGGTAATTAAGCTAATTTAATGCTTACTTAATTAGATTAGAATTTGATTAGTTTTCTTATATAGTTAATCTTTGTTTTGGAAAAATGAAACGTGTTTGATTGGGTTCAGGTGGCATTCTTCAGGCAATTCTTTCGTTCAGTAACCAAAGTCGATTACCTCACCATGCGCCATGGCTTTATCAGTGTAATTAATTATAAATCTAATTTATACTTGAATTATTTTAACCCACCACCAACCTACTGCATGCTCTTGTGAAATATGCAGGCACATTTTGCTCCTAACACCAAATTCAACTTCCATAAATACATCAAAAGATCAATGGAGGATGATTTCAAGGTGGTCGTCGGCATTAGGTCTCTTCCTCTTTCACTTCATAACTGATCTTTAAACTGCAATAAATGATTGAAATGAAGTTTCCAATTTCAATTATGTTCTACATTTCATATATTATTGCTAATTTTATATGAGATTTGATTTGGGTTTTGCAGCATTCCTCTCTGGGTTTTTGCTGTCGTCTTTTTGCTTCTCAATGTCTACAGTTAATTTCTCTCCTCTTTCTCTCTCCAGATCTCTCTCTATCAGTCTTAAGTTTCTTCTGCTTGGAAATTGATTATCATGTTTAATTTGATTTTTGGTGCAGGTTGGCACGTGCTCATTACCTTGTTTTCATTTGTTCCACTCATTGTAAGACATGCGAATTGTGATTAAGTATGACTAGTAAGTAGTTTGGTAATTATTGATGCATGGGATGGGGTACTGTGGTTTGCAGATACTGATTATAATTGGCACAAAGCTTGAACATGTGATCATGGAGATGGCTCAAGAAATCCAAGACCGGACCACCATTGTTAGAGGAGCTCCAGTTGTTGAACCCAACAATAAGTACTTCTGGTTTAATCGACCCCACTGGATCCTCTTCTTCATTCATTACATCTTGTTTCAGGTTCTTAACCCTAATTCGACCTTGTCTATTTCTACCAAATGTGTATATATATATATATATGTACATATATGTACATATGTAATGAGAACTAATTAACTACTTGGGTGTGTTTGGTGTTGACTGCTGCAGAATGCATTTCAGATGGCATATTTCTTGTATGTTTCAGTAAGTAATTAATCATCCAAATAAAAAAGCATCAATGTTTAACATTTATGATCAATCACTGCAAATTTGAACTTGGTTCATGTATTCTTGTGCGTGTGTGTACATATACATATATATATATATATACAGATTGAATTCGGGCTGAAGTCTTGCTTCAATGAAAACTTGGTTTCAGCATTGACAAGGGTCGTCCTTGGGGTGCTGATACAAATAATTTGCAGTTATAGCACCTTCCCTCTCTATGCCTTAGTCACACAAGTCAGTCCTCCTTCAATTACATATATATCTATATATATATGAATTTGTGTGATATATACGAAATTAAGGAAAGTACGTGGTAAAATGCAGATGGGAACTCACATGAAGAAAGCCATATTCGAGGAGCAAACTTCGAGGGCTCTGAAAAAATGGCAGAAAGCTGCAAAGGAGAAAAGAAAACTGAGAAAAGCTGGTGATAATTCCTCCATGAATCTGAGTGGAGAAAACACACCGAGTCAAGGCACATCACCTCTCCATTTGCTCCACAAGCACATGACTCGAAGCTCAACTCAGCCTGACATTGAAAGCGTTATGAGTTCTCCCAGATCACCTTACGTCTCCGACACAGATCTCTCCGATCTCGATGAGCCAACTCCGGCCAGATTTCTTCACCAAAAGCCCGACGATCAAAGTGCTGATTTCTCATTCGTTAAGGCTAATAAGTAATATTACAAAGAGATTTATGATGGGTACGTGATCTACTTTAGTTTTCATGGGAACTCACAAAAATATATATTTAGCTTGTACAGACACACACACACACACACACACATATATATATACCGATTACATTGAAGGATATTATTAAACTTATAAGAAAAGAGAATAACAAAAGGCACAAGCTTTGGTTATGGTGAAAGTGTGTGCTTTTACTCCATAAGTGCTTGTCGAGTGTGTACTGCAATACGAAAGATCTTTAGTTTGTTTTTCATGTTGAAATTTAATTGGGAGAATGCAAAGTGAAAGCTCATGAATTCTTTCTGTCACATCAAATCATGATAACAAAATCACTTTCTAATATGAATAGATTAATACAAACAGACATTTGAATAGTTCATATATGTATATATATTGACGAAAATCTCATATATATATATATATACACATACATACATACATACATACATACATGTTGGATCATTTTAAATGATGTTTGATTGAATTTGGTCTCTGTTTAATTTATACTAATTGTATTTTGAACCAAAATTTTATCACAAATTTATTATAATTTTACTTGAAATTTATGTTTTATTAAAAATATTTTTAATTAAAAATTAATTATTGCTTAATAGAAATAATTTTATAAAATATTATTATTTTAAAAAAAAGAAAAATTATTTATTAATTAAATTTTTTTGTCAAATTGAATTAAATTTTTACGATTTTATTATATTTTTTTACAAAAAAATTAATTAAAATAATTAAAATAAATTAAATTTTTTAATATAAAAAAACAGCAATGTCAGTTTGATGCATGATTTTATATTTAAAATAAATGAGTAACTTAGAAACTACTTTATTGTATATTTAAAAATAATCTTTTGAGAAATATTTGTAATTAATCCCATTAATTGGAATATAATCACCCGTTTAATGATTAATTCGATGATTAGACAGAAGGTCAAATTTTCAATAATGAGAAAGAAAACGAGATGCTCGTCGCCATCTTGAAATTTTCAACAAACCCTTGTTTCTTCTGCAATTTTTTGGAAAATTACTGTCTAATTTTGTAAAATAACACTTTTCAATAACCCAGAATGCAAAATTAATAAACATTAAGCAAAATTGCCGGCTTAAACACTGTTAATGCTGTTATTAGCAGAGGATTAATGGAGGAAAAATTAAAAAATAAGATTATAAAAAGAAACCCCGTTATCAAAAATCAAACATGGTCTAATCTCAGTCCTTTTTTATTCTTCTACTTCTTCTTCTTCTTCTTCCATTTCTCAGCCTCATTCGTATATAAGTCCATCCTCACCAACCCTAAAACCAGTAAATCTAACTCCACTTTTGAATGCCCGAGAAAATAAACTGGACCAGATTTATACCTTTCAAGGGGAGAGAGAAAATAGCCAGCGCAGGAAGACAAAAGAGGGGAAAAGAAAAAAAAAGGAACTCTGTAGTTATGATTTCACTCTTGAGTTAGATTTGCATAATGGGTTCAGTCAAAGGTGGTTCTTTTGGCATGGAGATTGTGGAGTTGACTCGGTTTTGATTCATAGGTTTTGAACTCACTCGTTTAGTATGGCTAGGCGTCATGGATGGCAACTCCCTGCTCACACTTTTCAGGTACAGTCTGCATTTGTGTTTCCTTGGTAAAGGGTTATGGTCTGTCTTGATGCTTGTTCAAAATGTGGGTACTTTACGGGGCAGGAATCAGGATAATTTTGCGGGCTGTTTTAGTTGCTAGGTTATGTTTATTCATATCTTAATGAATTACAGAATAGCTTTTGGGTTTTTATTTATATGCCTTCTCAAAATTAAAGGTGTTCTTTTGTTTGCATTCTTTGTTCTCATCCAAGAAAAGGTGTTTGTTTTTGGGCTGCCATTTTCTTTTCTTTTTTTTTTTGGGGATATCTACCCGTGACATGTAGACACAAAAAAAAAATGAAAGACCCTGCAACTTTTTCCCCCATCAGTAAGATTAAGTTTCGAACCGGGAAAATCTTAGGGGAATTTTTTTCTGTATTTTGTCTACTGAGTTGCTAAAAGTGGGGGTTGTTAATTTGTCTGAATTCACATCTTTGTTGCCTGATATTTTTGACGTGATCAGTTTGTCAATCCGCATTGGGAGAGGTCCTCGTAATTTGGGAAGTAGTTGTTGTAAGCTTATGTTATCAATTTGTCGCTAATAAAAGCAACAGTGAAATTGAATTGCGAGTCAGCACATGTACCAGTGGATTATAGAGTGGTGTTTTTAAGCTGTTGATGGCAAAACTGATTACAGAATCAAACACATTTTTTTTGTTCAAGCAATCATCACCTATTTTTTTGTCTTGTGTTGTGGATAAGATTAATATAATTGTTTACTTCTCCTATGCTGTTTTTTCAATTTTACATTCAACTACCAGTTTTTGTCTGTGGTGCAGGTTGTGGCCATAACAGTTTTTTTCTTGCTATCTGTTGCGTATTATGCCTTCTTTGCTCCTTTTCTTGGGAAGGACATCTATGAATATGTGGCTATTGGAGTTTATTCATTCTTTGTAAGCACAATCAGAACTTATCTACATACATACATATATGTAAATTATTTTTCATGAATCTAAATGTTGTTTTTATTCCCATTAACTTTTTTCTTAATCGAAATTCTCCAGGCACTCTCTGTACTCATTCTTTATGTCCGATGCACAGCTATTGATCCTGCTGATCCTGGAATTTTGATAGAAGCTGATGAGGGATCAGCCTGTAAATTACAAAATGACACAGATATGCCTGGTAAATGTCCTATGACATTGTGGTCCTCTTATAATTTCTAAACCGTTGATTAGTCATGGTGCAATGCATATGTTAGAATAGCTTTAAGAGCCTTGTATGCCTCTTGACCATTTGTTTAGGAATGTTAAGTAATGGTCCAGAATGCTGCCTAGAAATGGAAAATATGCTTGCTGTATGACATACCTTGGCAAATTTTTGTTATACAAATGAAGCCGGTTGGTTTATCCTTCTGAATGAAATGAAAATACAAAAAAACAAGTTTTGTTTCTTAGAATATAGAGGTGTACCTTTATGCTTCCATTGTCATCAAAGCTTCATGGTGCTTGAGCAGTGTCCATTGAGGAGCCTAACAAAATGGGATTGAAGAATGGAATAAAATCTTATAGAGATGGTTCAAGTTGTTGCTCAACGTTTGGAGGATTCTTTTGTGCTTGTATTGTGAGAGAGGATTGCCGCAGCGATGATCAACTACAGCAATCTGGAGAGGAGGATGCTTTGTTCTGCACATTGTGCAATGCTGAGGTAGAGGATTATTTTTATTGAATTTATTTCAGTTTCATTCCCTGCAGAGTCCTTGTCATATAGGACCTAGTCTCCTTTCCTTCTTTTTTACCAAAATGGAAACCGAAGTATTCAGGAAAAACAAACTAAAGTCAAACTGAAATCAACTATTCTAAAATTTGAGGAACTTCTAATATTCTATCAAATTTTCTCGAAGTTTTGAAGGTTTCTACAAGTTATCCATGGACTTCGAGTTTTTTGATAGAAAAATAGAATATATTCATAAGGTAGCAATAAGGTATCACCCATATGCAAAAGTGTGCATACAGATGTGGAAGAATGAATTATTGTGTTTACTATTGAATAAAGAGGCCCTGCATATACATATTCTCAGAGTAATAAAAGGAAACCTATGATTAATTACATGCATGAGTATTTCAATAATATACCCTTCATCGTAATTTTTTTTTAAAATACATTCTTCCCAAAACTCTCCTTCAAGCTGGTGAACAGACATTGTTCATTTCCAGATTGGCTATGATTGTCTAGAACCTTGAATTTACTTAAGCCCTTAGCTAACACATCTACAAGTTGAGAGTTAGTAATCATATAAGATGTACATATCAGGCCATTGTCTAGTTTTTCTTTCATAAAATGTCTATCAACTTTGATATGCTTGGTTCTATCTTGTTGTACTAGATTGTGAGTGATGATGATTGCTAACACATATATGGATATTCTACTAATATACCATTTACTCTAATTACACAAAAATGTACACTTTCCAACACAAGAAACAAACCCTGTAACATTTGCAAGCTCTTATAAAACTCGAAGTTGGTTTCCTGCCCATAACTTCAAGCATATGTAACTGAAAAGATGTAATAACTTCCCTCCAAGCAGTTTGAGACATTCAATCTGACAAATGCATTCAGCTAACATCTTGATTTTTTTTTTAATAAAAGCTAACATCATGATTGATGAAGGGTTTTCACCATAAGTCCATTTTTCAATTGAAAAAAGAAAAATAGGATACTAGAGGTTTAATTCATCAAGGGATGACTTGATAAGAATTTCCTTCACGAGCAGATTCAAAGATGTAGCTTGTGCTTTTAAAGGGGCCTTTTGCATACATCTTGAAATGCATGATAAACAATGTACTAATGAGATAAGCCTGGTTTATATCTCATTTTACAATGTGGCAGCAGTTGTCATGCATTTTGTTGGGAACACATGGTTGTAAGTTTAGCAACAAATTCTGCTTCTGCTTCAGTGATTTGATTTTCTTTCCTTTCTTTAAACTTTTGGAAGGTACGCAAATTCAGCAAACACTGTAGAAGTTGTGACAAATGTGTTGATGGGTTTGATCATCACTGTCGGGTAAGTAGATTTCAGATGTTTATCCTGGTTACTCTCTGCTGGTGTGCAAATTGAGGGTATCTGGATTGTTTAGGAATATTTGAGAAATGATTTTTGTGATGTCTTTGGTTGGCTGGTTAATTATTGGTATCTTTCATGCAGTGGCTGAATAATTGTGTTGGAAGGAAAAATTATATTACTTTTGTCTGCCTCATGGCAGCAAGCCTCGTTTGGGTATGTTCCGAGATCTATTTGGTAATTTGGTATTGCAAGTTCTGTCATTTAGAATCCCCAAATGAAGTAAAAGTTGTACATATCTGGAATTGGATGTTGGTTGCAGCTTATTATTGAATTTGGAGTCGGCATTGCTGTTTTTGTTCGGTGTTTTGTTGATAGAGGGGGTATGGAAAATGAGATAGCTGAAAGGCTTGGCATTGGTTTTTCCCGTCCTCCCTTTGCAACTGTGGTGGTATGTTCTGACTTCTCACCTGTAGCTCAGGCAGTGCATATTGTTGTTTACTTTGAAATGCTCAATAAATTTGTTGTCCTGTTCTAATTTTTACATATTGATGTTTGGCAGGCTTTATGCACAGTTGTGTCCTTTCTGGCTACTTTACCTCTGGGAGAACTATTCTTTTTTCATATGATTCTGATTCGAAAAGTCTGCTACTCAGATGTCCCTCTTTCATTCTGTGTTGTGATTATTTAAAATATTCTCAATATGTGCGTGCTGAACCATTATTTTGTCTTCGGGTACAGGGCATCACAACATATGAGTACGTTGTTGCCATGAGAACACAAAGTGAGCCACCTGGACCATCTGTAGATGGAGGAGATCAACAAAGCCAGCCATCGTCACCCACCAGTTCAGCCGTCACTGCCATTAGCGGAAGAAGCTCTCTTGGAATGAGCTTACAATATAAAGGTGCTTGGTGCACCCCACCAAGAATATTCATGGACCACCAGGTACCAGTCAAGATTCTTTCATCTATTTTTCAATAACTACCATCTGAAAATGTTAGAAGCCATTAAATGTATTATGTTCGAGTACATTTTTCTTCGAAGACTAGCATCTTATGATAGTTTTGTTTTACTGTCTGAAAGTATTTACAGTCACTGACAGTAGTGTTAATGGTTTGCGGTACATTTTTTGTTCAAAACAATAGCATCTTGCAATAGGTTCTATGTAATGTATGACAGTCTCCAAATTTCATCTGTGGCTGCCTCTTTATGAGACTAACCATAAAAAACAGGGCAAGACAGTCTACATAATATAATAGATTAAGTACAATGGATCTTTATGATCATCATGCAAAGATGGTTTTTACACACTGCTATATTTTGTGTGCTGAAAATTACTAATAAGCTACCTCAGTTGTACCAACAGGTGCTTGCACAATATTTCCTGTATATTGAAGGTTTAAAATCTTATATTGATCAATTAGCATATCTGATAAGCAGGATGACATTATCCAACATTTGGAGCCAGGGCGCTTACCATCCACAGTAGATCCAGATGCAGTTAGACCACCTGAAAATGGGAAAAAATTATCCCAGCGTCCTGTCCGAATTAGCGCATGGAAACTAGCAAAATTGGATTCTAATGAGGCAGTTAGAGCGGGTGCCAGAGCTAGGGCATCTTCCTCTGTGCTTCGTCCCATAAGTTCTCGTCATCATCCATATAACAGCGATCATTTATCTAGTAGTAATGTGAGTGGAAGAAGCAGCCCAACCAGTACTGATCATGGATTTCAGAATATGAATGCTAAAGCTGGGACCATCGAGACTATCTCCCTCTAAGAGCTCATATCCACCCAGTCGAGCTAGCAGGGATGACATTGAATCATGCGGTCACAGTCTTAGTAACTTCAGCAGCCCCCATCCATCCCATATTACATCCTCCCCTATGATGCAGCAAACTTCAAGTAGAGATCATTTTAACCCAATATACCAGTCATCAGCTGGCCAGTCTCCATTGTCAGCTAAACAAAATGAAAGGAACGAGAATTCAACTGCTGATAATGTTGCTCGATTCCCTATGAAAAAGAACTTGGGTGCTGCGGAGAGCTCAAAAAATTCAGTCTTTTGGGATCCAGAAGCTGGGCGCTTTGTCTCTTCATCTACTAAAAATGCCGGCACTTCTCAGGTTCCAGGAGCAGAACTTTTGTACGCAGGCCAATCTATATTCTATGGAGGTCCAGTTGTGAACGAACAGCTGATGAGAGGAACAAGAAGCGGCAGTTGGCAGGCAACTTCAGTAGATAGAGGTTCTACATCAAGTCATTATCAGCAGGGGAGATCACAGAGGGGTCACCAGCTTCCTGTGTTTGTCCCTAGTGAATCCCAGCAAAAGCAATTTTCTTCTAGATTGTCTTGAGAAACAAATGGACTGGTTTTGATTTAACTTCATCTGCCCCATCCCTCTTTCTTTTCAAGATAAATAGAGCAGGGTTTTTCACTTATGATGTTCTTGTTTTTGCGTTTGTTATGTGTTTTGCTACTAACCCACACATTGACATTGACATGGTTGCCCAAATTATTGCAGGCAAGAGGGTTTAATAGCTTTAATGCAGTTTTCAAAATCCCGGTTTTGAATGATAAAACTTTTCATTTCCAATGGAAGGAGAGGGGGTTTTTGATGTCGGTTTCAATAAAACCATAATAGTCAGCAGCTGTGCTCTAGGTACTGGTGTAACCTAATTGTATCGACGGGTTACTCTGCAAATACTATGACTGGAAAGAAAAAAGTGATGATTAATTTCCCATTTGCATACTATTACAGATTCAGTAGAAAAGAATGAAAGTCTGTGATCTGCATCTATCTTGGATCAGGGCAATTAGCAACTCAGACTTATATGAAATAACCAGATAAACAGACACCAATCACCTTCCATGGTGTGCTAACAAGCTCCTTTTTTTTTTATGCAAAACGTTTTACGACAAAACCAAATCATGTCGTTGTAGTATAGTGGTAAGTATTTCCGCCTGTCACGCGGACGACCCGGGTTCGATCCCCGGCAACGGCGTCCTGATTTTTGTTACGAGGTTTTCCCATTCTCAACATCGTTATCTACGTTCGCTAGAGTTTAAGAAATTTCATGGTTTCGATAACCAACGAGTCGTTGTAGTATAGTGGTGAGTATTCCCGCCTGTCACGCGGGTGACCCGGGTTCGATCCCCGGCAACGGCGTCGTAATTTTTTTCTCTCTCTTTTTGGTGATGGTGGTTGACCTTTTCGGGATCTCCAGCTCTTTCCTGTTGCCAAAGCACTGATGAATTTTCAAAAACAAAAAAGCAAAATAGTCGTTATAGTTTAGATGAGTATTCCCGCCTCTCACGAGGTTCGATCCTCCGCAATGGCGCCTGTCCTTTGCTCATCATTTTTCTTTTTCCGGTGATGGTGGTTTCCTTTTCGCTGTTAATGACTCCTCTATGTATGAGAGAGTCCAATAAACCGGCCAAACAGTCGTTGTAGTATAGTGGTGAGTATTCCCGCCTGTCACGCGGGCGACCCGGGTTCGATCCCCGGCAACGGCGATTTTCTTTTTGGTGGGCTTCCGTTCCAAGTTTTTGCTAGGTGTTTCCTCTTTCCCAATCTTACAATCGATTTTTTCTGTCGAAATCTTTGAAATCGGAATCCGAAGAATTTTCATGCTTCGATGGCAGTACGTTGTTTGAATTTCGGAGAATCAAGAAGGACTAGTTTTACTCGCGAAGTGAGAGATGACGAGCTCGGAAGAATTATCGTCGAGGTTCTCTGGTTAATACTTCTTCGGACTCCGGATTTATATATTTTTGCCAGAAATATATATTTCGCCTGTTTTTAGGATAACAAATATGATGAATGGAATTTAAGGAGAAAGCACAGATGTTGGAGAGGTTGATGTTGATGACCATAAGTTCTGACCTAAATTTGAAAAGCATCCCTATTATCACTCTGTTGTGTGAATGGCAAACTGGAAATTTAGGGTAAGAAAGAAGGTTGTAAGTTTTCATAAACCGACACTTGTTCCTCTCCATACATTTGTTTCTCTTCACATTTCGGCTTACAATAAAACCGTTACTTAGCAGCTATGACAACCCAAATGTCCAACAACAGGCGCCCTTTTTCCCTAACAATTCTTCTGGGTGCCAACCCATTCTACCCAAACTTCCATAACCATTTTTCTTTCATGCTTTTTTACGATTCTACTCTGTGTCAACCCCCTTTTTATAGACGTTAATAACCCACATTACCTTTTGTTGATTGCTTTTTCTGGTGCTCGCCTTTCGTAGAGCTGGTTTGACGAGACATGGCCGGAGGTGGAGTAGGCCTGAACGCAAGCAGAGAGCTTGATCAGACGCCAACATGGGCCGTCTCTACCGTTTGCTCCATTATTATCTTGATCTCTATCCTTCTTGAGAAGGTTCTTCACAGAGTTGGAGAGGTGATCAATGATCCTGAATTGTTGTTTTTTTTATTTCTGCTTTTCACATGGTCCTTTTCTTGTTGGTTGATGAATGTGGATGTATTTCATTATGAAGTTCATACCATAATATTTGAAATGTATGCGGGGAATCGAAAGGTCTTTACAGCTGCCTTTCTCTGTTGATTAAACAAATATTTTATTCACATTGTAGCATTGCAATTGATTATTTCTCTATTAGATTAATGTCTGATTATTATGAAATTTGTTAATAGATTTTCTTTTTTCATTCTCGTTCTCTTTTTCATAATTGTTGCCCTAATGCTGGTAAAAAGTGTATTGGCTGGTCTCATTCTGTTTTATTTTTATTTCAGTGGTTTGAAGAAAGACGAAAGAAAGCTTTGTTTG